AATTTTCCCTCTCTTGGAAAGCCTCCTTTTACAGCTCTGGATTGCTAGAAAGCAGCCGGCTTAGCTCTTGGAGTGCCCACGTGGCTCCTCTAAGACATCTGGTGCATGAGTTGTCGTCTTCATCCACACCAAGCCCTCTCATACCTCTTACACCCACTACTCAGGCCTGGGAGCCGAGGCCTACACCCAGCTAGCTATACCCAAACATCTCACATCTGTACACAGACGTATGTGTATACCTATGTGTAAATACATTGATTCATACACAGTACACAGTATGTAAACTCACACCTGTGTGTGTTAACAGTTACAGATTCCCAGAGTCGACTGCAAATACACACGGCTGAATGCAAATGCACACATCTGTGTCCTCCGGACACACATGTGCATGCCAAACGGCCCATGCACAGCCGGCTGGACTTGAGGCTCCCATCCCCACAACCCACACATGTGTCGAATCCTGCACAAACCCACTTACCTGATCTCCGGGCTGAGGTCTGGCTTGAGCCCATAGAAGGTGGCTGACAGTGTGATAAGCCAGCCTGGACGAAACTGGCCCCCCTGACATTCCAGGAAGGGAGGAGACAGCCTCACATGCTTCATGTCCCCCAGATACCCATCTCCCCGAGGCCACCTGGGGCTTCCGAGGCTCCCTAGGTCATTGGTGAGCACCCGCTTCTGCAGGGCAGGAGTGTCCGGGGCCCTGGTTAGGCTCTTTTCCAGCACCCTGTGCCCAGACAAGTCCTGAAGGATGGTCTCCTCCCCCCTTCGGGTGGCCTGTAGGGCCAGCTGCGGGTGGCTGGCCCCTGGTGGAGGGTTAAAGGTCAGCAAAGCCCGGTAGGCCTGTGGGTCCCCCTCGGCCACGCTGCGGACCAGCGCCTGGTACCACTCCACATCCTCTCCCACACTGGACTCGCGGATGTCGTTGGCTTGCAGCAGCATGTTGAGGAGATTGGCAGCCTGGGCAAGGGTGCCCGCTGCCCTCTCTAGGACCGGGGGGAGCTCAGGACTGGCTCCTGCCCCCCGGGCTTCATAGCGCTCGCTGCAATTAGTCCCCAAGAGCTGTTGGGCATCTCCAGAGTAGAGAAAAGCCAGGGCTGCTTCAGCACCTTCTGGGGGCACCCACATGGGTGCATATCCTGGCTTGACTTGGGAGGACAGTGGGGGCAGAGAGCGGAGGGGCTGGAGACTCCCCAGAGCCCAGCCACAGAGGAAACAGCAGCCCAGCAGCCCCCACACAGGAGGGGGCATGACCACTTTCCTGGGGCTCATCTTTGGGGCAGCTCTCAGGGACCCTGGGGTCCAGGCTGCCCCAGGGACTTGGTGGCTCAGGAGAGCCCAGGCAGAGAGTAGCTGCAGGCTGGGACTGCCTGCCTTCCCGCCTCCTTTCCTCGCTTTCTCTTTCCTCTCTCCCTCTTTCTCTCCGCTTGTGTCGTGCCGCCTGTTTTTTCTTCTTTCTAATGTCATCAGCTGGCTTCTGGACATAGGCGTGAGGGATCCGCCTCCTCCTCTCTGTGTGGCCCCCTTCGTAAACCCTCTTAATCCTGGCACACCACTCTTCCCTCCCCCTCATCCGGTATCTAG